AGGCCTTCGAGCTGGAATTAGGCACAGACACGTAGCGGTAGTTTTAAAAGATTGTTTACTTACACCGAGATGGCAGTGGTGTAGGCTGGAAAACTTGCTTAAGTTGCAGTTACAGAGAGAAAAGAAAACAAAACTTGAACCTGCAGGGCACGAGGGTACGTCGCATAGGGTTCCGGCGACGGGAGGAGAGGCTAGAGGCTGATCAGACCTCCGTTGCCTGCTTGAAATGCGCTGGGTCTGTAAGGATCCGCAGCGCTTAGAGATCTTCACACAGCGTGAAGTCTCCTCCTCCCTTGTTTGTGGAGTCCTCCAACTTGGGCGCAAACCACTCAAGCCTCTTATACAGCTAGCAAGCCAATCACTAGCCGCCATGTGTGAATAATTTAGAACTGGCCAATAATGGGACCCGAATTAACATACAAATGGCGGGAACTCTTTGCAACGAGCATTTCTGTGCTGCAACAAAGAAATGCACCCTGCAAAGAAAGCTTCAAATTGGCGGGAAATTCTCCCTTGCACTGGGGTTCTCTTTTGCAGCAGAAAACTCCACCGTGCAAAGAAGCTGCAATTTAGCGGGGACAAATTTAGCAGTGCCGAAGCACACACAAACAAAAATCACACCTTTTGGGTTGTGACAAATACATCCATCCCCATTTGACATGAATGGAAGTTCACACTGTAGGAGAGCAATCTATAGACCAAAGGCAGGAGTTTAATGTTTAGTATTTGAGATGCTTGGGACAAGACGCCTTCAGGAGAGACTACATGATGATTCAGCCTAGTACACATGGATGCTTGTGAGCATCAATTTGAAAAGGTTATCACAACAGTGCAAAGGATCTGCTGTGAGGGCTTCAAGAATTCAAATATTTTACATTACAGAGAACAGATCTTTGTTCCCTTCAACCAGCTGGTCCACAAATGAGCGTAAGCATCATCTAGTCGCTAGGTAGAAAAGCCACTACCTCTTTAACTGAAATGGTAGAGAATCCATTGTTAGTACTAGTAATCATGGGTGGATCTAGAATTTTGAAAAGAGAGGTGTAGATGATAAGGTTCATCATCATATTTAAACTGGAGAAAAATGTGTTGTTTTATAATAAACTAGAAAATTTACTAAAATGCTAGGGGCCTAAGGCTGTATTATTCAGTTCACGATTGAAGCAAAAACAAAAAGAACTTAATTGGAATGAGTTAAAAACAAATCTGCAGGGCTATGAAATAGGAGCTTCATTACCAGGAGCAGCTAACAGACAGGAAAATTGCAGAAAAAAGGCCAGCTTGACTGGTGGAACATAAAAATGATTAAAATGAAGAGAGGTTTGTTAATACCTGTGGAATGAAGAGTTTAGAAGGGATCAGGTAGATTATAATGAACCTTTAAGTTAATTGACTTCCTCAGCCCTGCCAGACTAGAAATGCTGCTGCCACTGCCAAACAGTTGGTTTTAAACTTTGGGTGGAGCAGTAATCAAAGGGAGGTACAATTGCACCCCTCCCCACCCCCCCGGTGCTAGTAATCCTAGCAGGCTCAATTTAGTAATCCAGAGTCAAGCCCTGACAATGACCAGGGTGAACTTTGTTATGTGAACTCAATAGAAACCTATCAATCTGCAAACAGTGTTATCAAAAATCAAAGTCTAGTCCATATCTCCTCATTTACAGCTAAACCCTTCTTTCTGCTTGCAGAGACGCTCTAAATGGAGTAAAGAAGCGGTGTCCAGCCCTGCAACAGGGCTGGGCCGTGGGCTAAATCAGACCCATAGACCAGCCCTGCGTTCCACCATATGTCCTGGAGAAGCCACAGTCAGTGCTACATGTGGCCTGGTCCTGCTCTGGCCACCATCAGGCTGTACTGCATGACCCTGGAGCCACTGTTATATGAAGCATGGCCTGTGTGTGCTGCACGCAGGTGACCAGTGCACTGCTCCAGGATGTGAGCTGGAACAGGCACTTTATGTAGCATGTGGGACCATATGCATTCTGCATGCTGCCCACGGGCAGCACAAGGGCCAGAGAATATGGCTCTGTATGACAGATCCAACCCATGGGCCATATCTTTGACATCCCTGGAGTAAGGCTTCTGCTACCACCTAGACCTGGCAGAAGACATGCATAGAGATTCCTGCACCTTCTCCCAAATTCTACAGCCCCTTCAGCAGTTGATTCTTTCCCACGGTGTATTTCCCTCAGCCTTCTATCTTAAAAAAAAAAGTTCCCCTTTCCCTATTTCTCAGGAATTATGAGATATCAGGCCCAGGCTGTAATGCAGTGGATTCTGGTGGCTGAGTATTGGCAGCAGATGTACAGGTACTCCTCACTTAACGTCATCCTGGTTAACGTCGTTTTGTTATTATGTCGCTGATCTATTAGAGAACACACTCGTTTAAAGTTGCGCAGTGTTCAGTTATAACATTGTTTGGCCGCCTCCTGGTAGTTGGTAACTACTGTGACATAATTGGATTTCCTTAAGTTGGAGTACTGTGTCCAGTTTTGGGTGCCGTACTTTAAGAAGGATGTGGATAACCTCAAGAGGGTCCAGAGGAAGGCCACTTGTATGGTTAAGGGTTTGCAGGCCAAGCCCTATGAGAAGAGACTAAGGGACCTAGACCTCTTCAGCCTCCACAAGAGAAGGCTGAGAGGTGATCTTGTGGCCACCTACAAATTCATTAGGGGGATGCAGCAAGGGATCGGAGATGCTCTGTTCACCAGGGCACCTCTTGGGGTAACAAGGAACAATGGTCACAAACTGACAGAGAGCAGATTTAGGCTAGATATCAGGAAAAACTTCTTCACAGTCAATGGGCATTGCAGCCTTTGAGCAAATTAGGGCGTTCTGACCTTCCTTTTTTTTTAGGCTGACAATGGCACTTTGGATTAACATATGTGAATGGTCCTTTCAAATTTTGCTTCTTAATGCTTCTGTTTTACAGTCCGCTCACTTAGAACATTGTTAAACCCCTCCTATAAAAGGTCCAAATGCCCTCAGCTTCCAGAGAGCTGGGAGCTCTCAAGAATTTATAGGGTGGGATCCCATGCAGGGAATACATTCTGGGGATGCCTGGAAGAACACTTTAACATTGAGAGTTGGGCCCACTCTGACTAATATTAGATTGCAAATTCTTCAGGGAAGGGACATGGGCACTGTGCTATGAGGCATGTAGTGCAATTTTTGTTACCTGAAAATAATATTTATAGCTAGTTTAGATAATGGCAGCCAAAGAGACAGAGGTGTCGGAAATAAAAATGTGACTACTGGAAGAACTGGGTGGACTAAGAGGGAGTAATGGATGATCTCAAATAGCTGGGGTTTCAGGTAAGTATTTGCAGTGCAGTCAGTGAGTATTTGGCCTATCAGAGGATCTTGTTCCCGTGAGCATGTCATTTGAGATCCCTAGAGTTTGGAGAATTGAGGCTGCACTGGACATGTATTAAAAAGATTTTCCAGCACGTGGCCCCTTTAACTCCTGAGGTCTTCAGAATTCTTATATCAAATCTATTGCCTGAAAAAAAACCTAATGTAATGAATCCAACCAACATATTAAATACATTAAAGTCTGCAGCTTCCTGCCAAAGCCGACTGGTCCAGGAGATGGAATGTGTGGTTCTCCAAGACGGCTACAAATAGATCCTCTCCCACTAGGACTGAAAAAGCCAGCTGAGCCTGCCAGCAAAAATGTAAAGCAGACATTAATCATAGGATCCAGCACCTTCCCTCCATGTGCACACCCAATGCACCATGAGGAGGGGTAATGAAAGGCACTGAGTACACCAATTTGTGGAATTTGCAAAGCTTAAGAAGTTCTTAGGAACTTCCTGGATTAGTGCTAGCTCTGAGACACTACTACATTATTCATCACTGTTTGCTTTTCTATGCGAAATGCTTTAACTAAGAGCAACCCATATGCACAATCTCTTATGTTCTTTCTCTCTGGACCGAGCAAGGTTTTATTTAATTCCATCGTAAGAAGTAAATTTTAGTGCTAGGGAAGCGAGCCATGTAGACAGCCCCAGATACTGAAGCCTTCAATCTATTCGCAGAATAAGTGGGTTAAAGGCAACAAGTATGGGCTGAAACCCTAAGCCTATATTGTATGAGCTCACTTTTCTGTCAGATGTAGTGGAATCTTATCCTTTTATGGGGATGCAGACCTATGCTCTCTTGATGCGACTACACAGGCTTGGGGAATAAAAAATTCTATAATGAACACAGGCTAAAGCATCAAACAAATGCTCTTTTTATTTCCCATTGGACACCCCTAGAATCCAGCAGACGACTTGTAGAGGAGTAGCTCCCTTGCAGGTTTTACAAAGATGAGAGAACCGGTCATCATTCCCAACACCATTTTGGTTTTTGGCTTGTATTTTTTTTTATAGGAAACCAGGAATTAGATACCAGTCCGTGTCCTAGTGGTATCTCTCTAAATTGCTAACAATCTGAAAATCTTTCTATTTACTCAGATGAAGAAGTTACCCTAAGAATTCACATGAACTGATCTCTCTCTGTCTCTCAATAATGGGACATATATTTGCTGTTAGCTTAAGGCAGCCCCGAAATATCAGACTTCATAACACCACTGTTATTGTAGATATTACAAAATATATTAAGACATTTTAGAGGTTTGTAAAATGTATTTTTCCACTCTCTCCAAACCTTCCATGATTAGATTCACAGTAACCAAGGCAATAAAAGATTCTTAAAATTCCCTAAAACATTTCCAAAATAGTTTTCCTATAAAATGTGGCATGTACAAGATTCATGGTAGGGTGGTGAGGCACAAAGAGTTTAACTTGTTAACCTGTTCTTCATAAATCATTTGTGCTTTTATTACCCAGGAGATGAATGCCCCGACCTCATGCCAGTAAAATCCTTATACCATTTCACCATGTATTCTAGATCAGGAGGGATAAACATGCAATATGTACACACGTGCACATAATTAATTATACACATGCACAGAGTTTGTTGTTTAGCTCCTTAAATCAAACCAATGACAGTACCTTCTTTTTGCTGCAGTAAATCTGCCATTTCTTCTCTGGCGGAAGTGCAAACATAGCCTCTCTGTTCTTATCCGTGAGATCCAGTTCATCCTGTAGATTAAAAGAAATATATACAAAATCAATAGGTGCATTTATATCTTTTGCTATTCAAAAAAGAATCTGGGTTAAACATTTTGCCTGCCTTCCTGTAAACAGGCAAAGAATTCAGAATCTCCCAAAGATTTTCCCTGTAAAAATTCTCATTGACCCCAGCTCCTTCACCACAGATTTATTAGGGTCATGCTTTCTGTCTTGATCTTAGCCAAAAGGCTAAGAGTGCTACCACAGGGTCCTCTCAGTCAGCGCAGAACAGACAGAGGGCTGCCTAAACAACATTAGCGTTGGACTTCCCTTGTCAATTGTCATTATAATACTTGTAATTACTGGGATGGGAGAGATCACTGTTTTGTGAGCAAATGCTCGAAGTAAAGTGATATACACCATGGAGAAACTGAAGGGGTAAAAACCCTGTGCATTAGCTGAAACAATGCAGGTTTAAAAGACTACTTTTTCTTTTACTGGTCCCCTGATCCACACATTCCCCGGCAGAAGACTGAAATAAACATTTGCATTGGAGAAGCCACAGATTTCAAATCTCAATGAAGCAAAGTGAATCTTCAGCATATGTGGGAAAAGGCAACATCATCTGTTGAGGAGAGCAAGGACCGTGGTCCCATCATCTCTTTTTCAAGACATCCCTTAAATGGCTATCAAAGCTGATATCAGTAGGAAGTATCATGTTATGGTTTAGGACACTACACTACTCAGGAGACCAAATTCCAACTCTACTACAGACCTCTTATGGATCTGGGATCTGCCACTTAAGTCATAATTGACATGGCAAACTTACCGTGCCAGGTAGCAGCATCCTCAAATATGCAACACTGCTCTGCATGGGCTGTCTCTTAAACCAGAAGCATTATAGCCCCATCTGTGTAGCACTTCAGGAGCACATCTACATGTGCAATTAATGCAGCTGAATAAACTGTGGAGCAAATTGTTCCACAGTAAACTACTTCTGGGCACAGTGTCTACATGTGTGCCTGGGACAGCAGCAAATTTAGCCAGGGAGGAACAGTTTAGGCCACGGCTGCTCCTGCCCTGCTCTGCCCCCCCTGCAGCAGAAGCGCTTCAGGCTCCAGCCATAACTGCCTAGATGCTAGCCCTGGACTCTGGCTGGCAGTGGCAGTATAGCCTGGGGTCCCGGTGGCAGCCCTGGGCTGGTAAAGGGTACAGGGGTCAGGCCCAGATAGGAGGTGGCTGCATTGCGTGGCAGTGGAGCTGAATGCGCCACGAGGCTCCTGCATCTGCCAAGCCATGTGGCTAGACAGCAAAAAAGAGTGTGGTCCCCTCCTGGTTGGGGTGACCAGGCACAATTTACTCCCAGGTCAGCAAATACATATGTGTTGCTGCACAGTAAATAACTCCGAATTAGTATTTACAAGTACTACCCTGCTGTGGTGTTTATTAGTTTCCTTCAGTCTAATAGCACTGTACATGTAGATGTGAGATGTTTACTGTGGAGCTAATTAGGTGACTCCACGGTAAATGTCTTATGTAGATATGCCTCAGGTACACTAATTAGCACTGCTCAGCAATAGTACTAACGGTATTACACTGCTTCTGGTTTACAGGGTGGCCTGTGGGCTTAGCATGGTGCATTTCAGAGCACCACTGCCTAGCACAATAAATTTCCCACATAGACATGATTTTAATCTCTCTGGATGTGGACAGATGTACAATCTTGTAGTGACCAAACACTGACAGTGCCCTCATGCCTCTGCTTTACCTGTTTCAAATTAGCATGGTCTTGATGTTTGGGAGCAACACAATTTGTTGTACTGTCTCAGGAATAGGTAAGACAAGTATTTGTATGGAATGGTTTGGATAGGGATAATCCTGCCTTGAACAGCAGATGGGGTCCCTTCCAATCTTACTTTACTATGATTTTATAAGAGTTAGAGACTCAATATATAAAAGTTATAGTCTACATGCTATGTTATGATGAATGAAACATGCTATAACTGTTATGGTTGTTTCTTCTGATAGGAGTATAAGTGGAACTAATCCAGTGTACTTGAACTTTGCTTCATTCAGCGTTATAGTTACAGCAGTTTAGCTCACTTACTGCTGCTACAGGCAAGCAGAAATGTAACAATTATATCATAACAGCTGATGTGCCTTCCTGAGCAACAAATCTTCTTTCCCTTTCAAAGCAGTTGAAAGGTACATCTGTCTACTGCTTAATTCCTCTTCTGTAAAAGGGTAATACTACCTTTCCCCCAGGCTACTTAGATAGTAAACTCTTGAGGGTAAGGACTGCCTCTTACTGTGTGCATGTTTAACATTTAGTAGTTTTAGAGCTAGCAAAGCCTGTAGGCACTACCAAGATATAAGTAATAACAACAGTCATAAAAGGAAATGCCAATGGTTTTTGTTTGGTTCATCTATACCAATCAAGCAAGACAAGCTAGAGCTCCATGTGCTGACATGAGAGTAATAGAGAATGTGCATCTTGTTGAACAAAATCTCAGCTGCCTACTTCATTTTAAATATATATACTTTTTTGGGAGGAAGAGGATGAGGACAAGGAAGCACTCAGGGTCCCATAGCAAGATGACTTTGTAGCACTAACAAAACAAGAAAGGCAGTTCCCTGCATTCACGCTTGGCTAACCCAATGCAGGGACAATACCTCTTTAACTCTGTCCAACAATGGCTCATTTGGAAAGCTTTCAGGGCTGGGAAACTTGTGAAAACAGTGAGCTAAGTTGCATACTGAGTCTGGTAGCGGCTGCTGACAGATTTAAAGGCCCACAGGGATTTCAACAGCAGAAAGGTACAAAAGAAATGCAAACAGTAACAAGACTAGGTCACTGCCAGCAGCCCAAGGTAGAAGAAGCAGAGGGATTTTTTTGTGATAGAAAGTTTTTAAAGGAAGAAAAAGCTTTAGCTGTGCCTGAAGAGTTCAAGCCATGTGGAAATGTTTAGGGTGAGTTTCCAAACAAGGGGGCAGCCAAGCGAGGCAAGTTTTATCCTTGCTACATACAAGTAGAAAGCTTAGGCCAGGATTGCATTCTTGGGGGGAGAGGAAGAGAGAAACTACATGTACGGTCTTAAGCGGGGGAAGGAGGGAAATCAGAGATGTCAGGTTAGGGAGGAGAGAGCTGCCAAAACTAGAATATACATATGAAACGAACTGACCAGTCTCACAAAATCCTTGGAAAAATCCTCATTTTATTTCAGTGCCTAGTGATCTTATCTTTTGTTGCACAAAGGGCAACTACCTGGGTCTATTAATCCCTTATGTTCTGTCTGGAGCAATAAAACACAAGAGCCTGGAGGCAAATTAGACAGACTAGAATTCCAATCAAAAGCTTAATTCAACTACATGAGAAAGCTGAGAGGCAGCCAAAGAGGAAGCCAGTTCTCTGCTCACCCAACCAACTTCTCCCACACAATGCAGATGATAGAGTGCTCAACCAATAAAGAAAAGGACAGATTTTTTTTTTAAGTAGACAGACAGGTACTACAACCCTACCAGTCTTCAAAACACATACACAATTACAGAATCCCCTATCCATTACAATAAATGCACCCGCGCAGCCAATACACAACTCGCACCCATGCACCTGCGCACTCGTCCACATTCCTTTCTCTGTTACAATTACATTGTTCCTCTGCTCTTTTCCTTAGTCTCTAATCTCTATTCTTTAGTTTTTACTCCATTTCACTGTCCTGTTGCTGCCTCCATCATCGTCGCTGTCTTTGTTGTCACTCGATCTGTTCTCTTCTTTGCTGTCCTCACTTTCTTCCCCTTCATCACTGCACTCTCCCCGGGGGGGGGATGGGGGGCGGGGCAGAGGGGTCCTTGAACAGTCTGTGCCAGTTGCACCTCTGCCACATGATCTTTGCCATCTCTTCTCCATCTTTGCCTCCTGTCTTCTGATAGTAGGTCTGCGTCTCACTTAGTCCCATTTTAACGCAATCCTCAGCTGAGAGCTTTGTGTACCGGTACATCAGGAGGTTCCTGGTCTTCCCCAGGGCACTCCTAATGAAGAGACAAACTGGTTGAAACAGACTGATGGGGACCCCTGTTGTTTGGTCAGGTGCCCATACAGCGCCGCTTCTCTGATCATAGTCCTGACCTCTGTCACCTCCCAGCAGAGCCGGTCTGCCGTCCTCCATACTTCTTTGGCATATGGGCAGAACCACAGGAGGGAGTCAATGACCTCTTCTCTGCTTTGGCAGGTTTTTCTGGGGCAGCTCGGTTGACTTCTCTGCCACACTTTGTGCCTCAGAGCCTGCACAGAGAGTGCCTGGTGGGCTGCTTGCCAGTTCAAGTCCCTGTGGTCTTTCCGTAGGCCCTTGTGGAAAATTCGCAACCACCTGGCCTGACAGCCATCACTGGCAAACAGGTCGACAGTCTGTCTTTGGTTCTGATCACCTCCCGCATTTTCAGGTGGTTGGTCATGATCCCAGGGGCTTCTTTGACCAGGCTGTATTTTCTCCGGAACTCATCTAGGACCTTGTAGAACCATGGCTACAAAATGGTCCAGTCTTCCATTGGGCAGCACACACAGGAACCCGTTGACCAGCACCTCGCTGCTTACATCCGTGTACAGTATCTTTATCCAGAACAAGAAAGAAATTCTTCATCATGAATGTATTCTCATGGAATGAACACACACAGAAGAAAGTATTCTTTTGAGGGCTTCTCAACCCTTCCTCTGGTGGATGCCGCAAGCACCAAGCAAACACAAGGCATTCTGCTCTTTGTTCCATCCAATGGATACAACGTTTTATCACGTAATTATAGGGTATATTTTATATTCTGGTACATAACCTTCTTTTAGGAGACAAGTAAGTAGTGCCTAATAATGAGGGAATAGAAAATACAATGGAGAGCAGGGGGGGAGGCATATATGTCTCTCATCGTAATATAACAAAGAAAAACTGGTTGGGAGAACAGCAAGAGTAACTGCACCAGCTAGGATTAAATTTTAAGAGCAATAGTGTTTATGCATCAGGGCATAACCTATTTGCCAGTAG